TATATATATATATATAAAGATTATAACAATTATAACATGAAACTCAATGGAAGTATTAAACCAATTTAGTTGAGAAAATACTTTTTTGTTTGTTTATGTTGTTAACTTAAAATTGTTATTTTGTTTTCAATTTTTTTATTTATTTTTAATATAATAAATAGTAAAAATAAGTTGATACTTTTATAACTAAAAATAAAATGGAAAATTAAAACAACAAATAAAAATTAAATAAACATGTCTATTTTAAATAAAAACAAAAGTAAAATATATTTTTTTCATAAAAAAACTTACAATAACTCAACCATCCATATACACCCTTTGGTTGTAAAACAAAAAATGAGATCAATGAGTTATTAGTGTGGATAATTTTAAAAGAATTAAACTATAAATAACTATGGTAAAACAATTAAAATTTTAATATGATGACTTTAAATTTAAAATAATAATAGTTGTTAATATAAAATGATAATATAACATACAAATACACATGCTGGATTGTTAATTGTTATAATCTTTTATGTATTTATAATAACTTTTGATATTATTTTATATTTTTTTTATCACATTATCTATTTTTGTTTCTTTAATTTCTTCTTTAAATTGAAAAATTAATTTTGTCAAAAATTATAATTATTACTCAAAATAGTATGTGTGCTTTGCAAAAAAGAAATGGTTTATAAGTTAATGATAATAGAAATATATAATTTTGTTCAAAAAAATTATTATATTATACCAAATTTTAAATTAAAATATTATAATAAGTTTAAAAATGAGTCAAGTTGAAGTGACTTTTCATTTGTTCATTTTGACTCGATAATATTTAACTTAAATCAAAAGTTCTACTTAAAATCAACATAAACTTTTTTTTAGTTTCAATTTAACTTAATTTAAATTTGTAAATAATTTGGTCTAACTTAAATCAAATCACATGAATAAAAAATTAAATATTTTTTGAATCCTATACATTTCAAGTTTTAAATTTATTAATAGAATTTTGATAAAATGTTTGTATATGAAAATATAAAATAAAAGTTATTCTATTAACTTTGAAATGTTATGATGTATAAAAAAAAGAATAATTATAACAAAAATTTACTTTAAAAAAATTACTTATATTTTATATAAAATAATAAAAAAAATTAATTAATATTTTTTGAAAAATATTCACTTCTTATTTTATTATTAACTTATATCTAAATTTTGATGTTTTTAAAATTTTAATAAATTATAATTAAATAAAGCATAAATTATATAAATTATATATATTTATCTGTTAAGTTTGATTATCAACTAAATGAGTCAAATTATGTAAATCATAAGTTTCACTCTTTTATTTATGGAGATAACTTTTGCTTAATTAATCGATGAATAAAATAAATTGAGCTAATTATCTAATCAAATGTATTTTTTTTGAAAAAAAGAAAATTGGTTCATCGTGTCAAATTTTAAATTGAATTTTTTTGGGTGCATTAAATTATATTGGGAAGAAGGAGCAGGAGACCAGAGAATTTCTCCCAAATTCGAAATGGTGAAAGAGATCGAAACTCTGTCAGAAGATGAAAGACGCGCACTTCGTGGAAGCAAGTTCGCCCCTCTTCCCCGCCCTTCCAATTCCAAACCCAGGTTCGCTTCTTCCTCTTTTTAGGGTTTTTCCCCTCTTCAATTTTACACTTCATTGCTTGTCCCATGGTTAAATTTTTGTTTTTGAATTCACAGTTTCCCTTCTCTCCCCTTCAATTTTAGTGGGTCTGATGTGAATTTTCGAATTGTTCATTCCTGTGACAGGTTGGCTCATCCTGGTGGACCTTTGGCGACGAATAAAGCAGCGGCTTTGGCGAAGTTTCTGGAGAGAAAGCTGAAGGACCCAAATGGATTGGCATCTATTAACCCTGATCTTCTTGAACTTGCCGTTAATAATGCTAAACAAACTGTCTATGCAAGTAACACCTCTAACTCCCTCTCTCTCTTTCTCTCCTCTCTTGAAAGACCCTTTGAGTAGAATTTAATTCGAATGCAATTGGGTCTGTCGGGCTGTCGGGCTAAACTTTACTAAAAGCAGAGACAAAAATATGAAAGAAAAGTGGAATAAGCTAAAATTAGCTTATTAGCTCTAAGCATTAGTTAATTTGTGGTAGTTGTCTTTTGTTAGTTTCTAGCTTCTAATTTATATATGAAGAAACGAATTCCTATTTGTTTTCCTAGAAGTGTTATTAGAGATGTTTATCTAACTATACGGTTTCACTTTTGTACCAGTCATTCAATCCTGGATTGTGGTATATGATAAAATTGTTGAGTTTTTGTAATATCTGTTTTAGAAGTCATATTTATGGTGATTTATAGTTAGTTTATAATATAGTGTAAATTTTTTTACAAAAATGATTGATTGGTGAACACTAAGAAAGTAAGAAGGCAGTTGACACCTAATATGAGTAGAGAGAGAAATATAGTATAGTAGGTGATATGATCGGAGGAAGGAGGAAGGACGAAGGAGGGAGATAGAGATAAATGATTAGTGTTAATGAAGTATTTGGAGTGGAAAGGTGTTCACTAATCATCACTCAAATTTTCATATTGACCATGTCTTATAATTAAACTTTTTTGTGTACTAGGTCAATTATTTATATTTTGTTTATTTGATTATTAATTTGTGGTATGAGAAATTCAAATTTCATTACTACTGTTACTTGCATCAAGTGTGTTTTTTCTGTGACTATTGTCTATTGTGGGAATGTTGAGCTTACTTGTGATAATTTAATGCATGTATTTATCTTCTTGGTCATGTTTAGCATGAGAATAATGGTGGTTTTGTTCCACTATTTAACCAAAAAATATCGAATAATGAGGTATTGTTATTGTTATAGTATAACATGCCCTTACAGAGGCAGACATCAACCGGGGAAAAATCATGATTAACTTTTACACTCTCGCTTGTTGGGGGAGGTTGTGCCTTTTCTACAAGTTTATTCAAATCCAAAACACTCACAGATAAAGGGATTGTTGGCCTACCAGATTAGAGCTACAAGTCTACAACTCAAACATATTCTCTTATGTTTCCTTTTTCGCAATGTTAGACATGGACCTTTCTGTTGGATATTGGTTTTTAGTATTTTTATCACGTGTCTTTAATTGAATTTGTATATGATAGTCATTATTAATCAAATTTTACGGTTCCCTACAACTTTAGGTACTTCCAATTCGGGAAGAAGTGTTCGACATGTGGACTCCTTTGGTGATTCTGATTCTAAGGTTTTCTCTTCATTACTGTTAATGGTGTCTGAATGGTTGTCGAGATATCTGTCTTTTTCACTTTTTTCAGTTTGTTTCTGATCTTGATAGGATTCTAGTGAAGAACAACAGAATGAAATATCTGAGGTAAAGGAATTCAGTAAAAAGAAGAAAAAGAAGGAGAAAAAGAAGAAAGAGAAAAAGAGGAACAAAAAGCAAAAGGTCACTACTTGTTAATGTAACTGGTTATTTTCCCAGAGACTTTTACAATTCACATAACTAGGTTTATTTTGTTGCAGAATGCAGAGGACCTAGAATATGCTGTGGCGAAAAAGCCTAAACAGAAATTTAAATTCTGATCTTATTTATAGTAGCAGATTTTTGAAATAGAGGATTGGGGCCAAAAATTTTAGCCACGGTTTCTTTCCTCGCTCAAATTGGCTAGTTACATGTAACATGGATTCATAGATGCGCTGTTGTGCTTGTGCTGGAGCTTTCGATTCAATTGACCTTTCCACTAGCTACAACATAGATTATGAACCTTTATATATATATATATATATATATAATTTTTTGTTAGATTCTTTCGGGGTGTGAAGTTAATATTATTTGTATTGTCTTTTCTTTTTATTTTATCCCTCGATTGTTTTATTTATTTTAGTTTGGTGAAAAGAAAAAAAAAACTAGTTTTTTTTTCCTTCACCTATACACTAGTTCTTGTGGGATGTGCAAGAAGCATTTTTAGCTATAAACATGCTAAAACAGAATCTGGTTCAGTAATATAAATGATTGGGATGTCTCGTCCATGTTCCACGTATTGCGTTGCCATAGTTTATACGGAAATGCATGCCAAAAATGCCGTTAGCTTGCTTCTTTTTTGTAAAGAAATTAGGATATGATACTAATGTAGTTGTAAAAGGAAGAAAGACCCTTTTTTATTCTTTGAAGGGAGGGAACAAATTTGTTAATGGGATTGACCATGTAGCTGTTACTAGCATTGAATATTATCCATGGCATGTGCATCAATGGTAAAGTTCAGTATCATAGTGATTTAATAAATTTAGTTTATACCCTTGTGAAGTACTTTTGTTTATATGCAACAATTTTGGTCTGAGACGAACTTGTTTTGTTGATTATCTTCAAGCGTCCTATAATTTTATAAGTGACCACCAAACCCCTGCCAACTTAAAGGGAGTCCCTCAATGGCTTCTTGTTAGACTTGTTGGTGAAAGTCTGCAAGGATGACACAATTGATTAAATTTATTTATTTCTACTAGTTAGATGTAGGATCAAATACAATTTTTGTTGTTTTGTATACATTTTTATGTAGATTTGTATCGAGATAAAATAGACCATCTGTAATTTCATTGTAAATATTTAAAGATGTTGATAGTTTGCTCTATCTTGGCATGATTTGTATAGGAGTGATGATGATGTTTAGATTGAATACCTTATGTGTCTCTTCCAGAAGGGAAGATTGAGGGTGCCATGTGTTTTGACTTTTGAGGCTTCTCTTGTTGCCAGGTGTCTGGTGGTGGGGTTCTGTTCTTGTTTTGAAGTCCGAGGGAATGGTGACTAGGTTTATCTATTGTCATGATGAGAAGTTGTGTAAGGGGAAAATGACTCTTGCATGGTGACTAGGGGTGAATGTTGTTGGTTTAAGATAATGAATGAAATGAAGTAATTTTAAATTGCAGTCGGTTGCTATTTATAACATTAGTGGATGCGGGAAATTGTGAAAGGCCTCTACCTGCAAAAACAAATAAAATTAATGTAATTGAAAAGATCGGTTCATTTTAAGAAAATTAAATTAAATTAATTAATTTACTTTGTAAAAATAGTTTGATTGAACTATTATTTATAAAGTGAATAAGTACGATTTAACATATTTTTTTTAAAATTGATCTATACACAAATATAAAGTGGATAATTAAATCAAAATGATCCAATTTAAAAAAAAAAAGAATTCAATCCATTTTATAGAAATCATTAATCAAATTATTTTTATAAAAGGATTAGTTTTCTCTGGTCTACGTGTCTTTGGGTGCATGGAATATTTCAACCATTTTACTTTTGGTTTCATCTAATTGTTTGTTTAATATAGAGTTTTTAAAATCGTGTCTAAATAAAAAAAGATTATTTTTTAATTCTTTCAGTAATATATTTGCAACCGAGTCATTTCGCCTGAAAACAATAACTACTATTAAAGATTTTTTAATTTTTATTCTTGTTAACAAAGGGGCCAAGCTCCGAGAGAAAAATACGAATAAACTGAAACGGGGTAAAAGTTGGCGTTGTAAGCCCAAGGCCAAGGCATCAACATACATTCTTATGCAAATCAACCACTTTTGGATAAATATTTGAAAGTAAAAAGAGAAAACCAAGCGATATTTTATAATTATTAATAAAAATTTAATTTTATATACAAATAATTTTACATCAACAGCCAAACAAAATTACTATCAAAACTTTCATGCATTGCAAACGTACAAACTTATTGTAAAAACCAATATATTATCCGAATGACACTGTTAGTGCATTTACTATTTTCTTCAATAAAGAATTATTTTTCATATCAAAAACCCTATTTGAATATATTAAAAGATGTCAAAATAAAAAGATCTTTATTACTATAGGTGTCAATGGCCAAGCTATGCATGTCTACAACTACAAGTTTCTAGAGCATCCTGCTAAATCAAAGCTAATATAAGCCTTGTGTACTGCACAAGTGAATCACAAATAAATAGCTGTTTTTTTTAGTTCTATACACTGTCTTTGGAAAAAAGAATCACACTTTCCTCCTTTTGGTGGTGTTTTTCTTGTCCTCTTTGTAGTCATTGTGGTTAACAGGTATCTCTTCAGCATTTATTTCCTGCTCTTTCAGTGCTTTTCTGACAAAAACGTTTAGTCTCCACACTGTGTAGTCACTCTGCAAAAAAACCAGTCAATTTAGTGAGTAGCTCCATAGCAACTTAGGATAGGACAAACAAAATTATGACAAGAAACTTTAGTGGCTCAACATAGGGTAAAATTACAAACCTGAAGATCAAGGTCAAGGTTCACTTCTTGAGCATAAGGTTGGAAGGTAGGGTCATTCTCAGAAATTATCTGCATTGCCTTGGAGAGGTTTTCAAGAGAAAGTCTAGGGAGAGACCTCATAAGTGTCACTTTCTCATGAGTTGATATTTTCCTGCAGTATTACACAATGCCTCAACAATGAGTCATGGACAAAAAATGCATTGCAACTCACTCGCATACTTTGAGGATTAAATTGTGGAAATAAAAATAAAAAGTTGTGGACCAGATAATATATGGCTATCAGCACTTGTCCTTGTGGATTGTGGCTTATAAAAACTAACCAATTCATGCACGGCTAAAAGGGCTCAATTACAATTAAACGTCGAATTCCAATTCATGTGTGCAACCATTGATGGTTGTCGTTAATACTGCAGTGAGGCAAGATTCTAGCTTCTTAGGTTAAAATTATCTAGATAAAGAGTGGATTTATATTTAATGAATATGATTTGGTTAAGACAAGGTTTATATAAGGGATGACAAATGGATGAGACATCTACCAGTTTCTTTATATCTATCTCTGACCTCGTTTCTTTATTCTATATCTATTCATATTCCCATAACACGAATATGGAATTTGTGTTGCCATCCGGTTCAAAAATTAATTAAATATTATTTTTTTATAAGAAAATATAAAAAATAAGAATTTCAACATAAAATAATTATTATAAAATTATATTAATTAAATTTTATTTGACATAAATTAAAAATAGAGTAAAAATTATATAAATTTTAAGTAAATTCTAAAAACAAATTAAATATTTATAAATTTTAAGCAAGTGTAAGTATGAGTCGGTATGGGATGATTATGTATATACCCATCTCATACCTGTGTTCGTGTTGATCAAATATGATATTTTTTGTCATAATTGGAACGAGTTCGGATATTATTCACGAGAACGAATTTATTTATTATCCCTAATTTATATACTAAATGATGGAAATGTAAAACAAGGTTTTCTTACATCAGACTATTGCAAACAACAAGGTTCAAGACACGACAGTGAAATGCAGATGGCAAATAATAAAACTTGTTTATTGCAATTTGACATTGATCACCAAGTAATACTAGCTAATAAGGGACGACTCTTTGACGAACCTGCACTTTTGAATCACCATTTCTTTGAAATTCTCTAAGGTGGCATCAATATTGCACAGCTGAAACATATAATCAAACACATAAACCATCTGATAAACTTTAAAGTAATACAAAGCAATTAATTTTACACACAACTCTAGAAAAAAAATGGTTAATCTATACCGCAAGGCTTATATCCTTTGCCGTATTGGCATAAGAAGCCTCTCTAGCAAGCTTCATTTCCAACTGCACCCGTGCTTCTTCCTTCACTTGTTCATTTTCCTAAATAATTAAACATGAAAACATAAAGGACATTTGGTAAGTAAATATTACATAGGATGAATAAAAATAACCAGTTTTTAACTATTTCTGTATGTGCACCTTCCAAAATTACATATAAGAAAGCTTCATTCATCCAAAAGAAAGGAAAAGATTTTGGAAAAGCAAATTACCGCCTGAGCAACTTTAGGCAATAGCTGCAACCATTTCTTCTCAAATTTTTCCAGCAATGTCTTTGCCATAGTGTGGATGTCATGTTTTTCATCGTTGTATTTCATTGCATTCTTAAAAATCAACCTGACATCAGCATATATCTCACGCACGTTCTGATAACCAGAACCATCCTTCGAATCCATTTTTCTTTTTACCGTACTGAAATCCATAGGCTTTTCAATAATCTAGGGGAAGAAAATTAAACAAATTATTTTAGTACAAAACAGTAAACAAAGAACTCTGGTAAAAAAAGGTAGAGTTTTAACAGGTAGTAACAATGAGTCAAAACAATTATCTAAACATTTTTCTCCCCAAAAGTGTACAAGCAAAGATGTTTTTAAGTTAAGAAATTATTTCAAATGTCATTTACATAAATAGTTTACTCATAGCCTTTTTTTGTCTTGATATTTTTAGTCTAAATCAAGAAAAATGTTTTAAAAAGAAAAGAAAAGAAAAACCTCATTATAGTCATGCAGCCCAAGACCTTCAACATCTACAGGCTCCATGAAGGGCCAAGCCCATTTATGCTGAGTTATCTGAGAAGAAACAAAATGTATCATTATTGATTCTCTGCAGGAAACTTGGTGCAGTCAATTTAGAGGATTCAACGGGAAAACAAAGGTCTTTCATTTAAATAATAATAATAAATATAAGCAATTACTGCTTTGCTATTTCATATGAAATTAACATGGTAGAAAGTATTTTTTCAAGAAAATAAACACGTCTACATTAATTAATTTATTTATGTACAATTGAGTAAATATGCTGGGAGGTGATGAAGTGCAGAACAAATACAAACTGGTGTGCATCAGCTTAACTGTAGAAGCTTTTGCATGCAATGGGAAAGGTTCTCAATACCAATTGATAATTACTAACATGTAATGCATGCATGTCTACACTTAACAGAAAAAATTAAGGATATTTACTATATCTTATGATACATTTAAACCATAGAATAGTCTTATCAAATAAAAAATATGTAAAAGATAAGATTAAATAAAATTATTATAAATTACTACCACTCAAAGTGCAGGGTCCCCAGTTTTAAAGAAAAATTGAATTATCATGGTTAGATCAAAACAAACTAACGCTTTCTGGCAAAATTAATGAATACTGTATTATCTTAACCCCACCCAATTGAAATATGAAATAACAAAAGTAGTTGCAAGGTATTTGCACTTGCCTGATGCAATATTACAGAAAACTGACGCTTAACCTCTTGCATTGTTTTTGAAGAATTAGTTTCCCTACTTGATGCACCTTGCATTGACCTTTTAGTGCCAATAACATGTTTTTCCCGGCCTTTGTCTTTGACATTGTTGACTTGATCATTAATGGAACGGTAGAATTGTTCAACCTCAGTAATTTGCTCCTCAAGCTGCATGCAAGACACGACACATAAATTTCTTTAACTGAATGTCAACTTCAAACTTACAAATACTACAAGCTCATAAATGTATGTATACCAGCAAATTTGGGCAAAACAAAATATTAAAGATTCCCTAGACCTTAAACACTGATAAAAAAATATACATGTTTCATTTATACACCAGCTATTCCATCATAGTACCTGAATGGAAGGTAAATGTTAAAAACAAAACATCAAAAAAAGAAAATTCATATAAAAAAAAATGTTTCTCCTACACCAAAGTACACCTAGGAATATACCCGACTAGAACTGAAATTGTTTACTCAACCCAAGAAGTTTGGTTGTTTCAAGAATCCATTTTTTGCTATATTTACTAATTATGGGCAGAATAAATTTGCCTTTTTATGCTGTCTGGTTAGTGACTACGTTTGTAGGCTTTCTTTGCCATGCATACTGATTGATTAATATTGTTGATCTAGCTCATTACTTTTTTTTAGATTAAAATTTTTTTCCTATAGAAGACAAAGAAAGAAAACAGTACAAAAAGCTGGTGAACCATGCACAGTAATTAAAGCCCTGAAAACCTATGAATTGATGCAAGAAAAAAGCCCCCAAACTCTCTTGAGTCACCCAATATTTACCACAAAAATACCATAAATACAAGTATGTTAGTTTCAGTCTAATAAAAACATAACACAGAGACTATAAGTGAGCTTTGTCAGCTTTTGAAAATGAACTAAGAAGAGTGTTTAAACAGCTGAAAATGGAATTTACAAGAGAGCACATTAGAAGAAGCGATAGTGTAGCATTGAAATTAAATCTTTAGGTCCTCAAACCCTACTCAAGGAAAAATAAAATCCCATCAAACATAACTTTTAAATATAACTCTTACCCAAAACAAGTCAAACAACCTACTTTTTTTCAAACAAAAAGTAGGTTGCACTTCCAATTTAACCAAAATAAATAAATAAATTATCAAAAAAAAAAACAAAAGGCAAAAATAAAATAAAAGATGGCATTTCTTGGAATTCAAACTTAACTCCCCCAAGTGAAATTTGTCAGCTTCATGAAAATAAAATGAAAAACAATCTCAATCACAAACACTTATTGGCAAACTGACAAAAGAAAATAAAAGTATCAATTCTATACCATTGATTAACCATATTGTAACCCAATAAATAATCGTTAGGTAAAAGATTAGACAAAAGGTACATTTATCTAATTGTGGATTAAATGTTTCAATGGGTTCATACGAGGTGTCTAATAAAATCGTAAATGTTGAATCTAATTTATAGTCGTACATGACAAAACATCTCGCTACACATTATTATTTGTTACGGAAGAATATTCATCTTTTGTCTCACATGTGACTAGAACGATAACACGCGTTAGGTCTATAATAACCAGATAGACAAATGTTTGAATTGTGACAAGAAACAGCGCAAAAGAAAACAAAAATTAGCATTAGGTATAAAAAAAATGGAAAAAAAATTGGAATGCCCACACGTGTAAGTAATATTCCAAAATTAATTGGGTCCTGTGAATATTTAAAAAGGGGAGAAAGAAATAGTTTTGGATTATGAAATGAGGACTCACCTTTTGAACTTTGTTGAAATTTTCATAGACAGAATACCTAAAACGGTTCAAATCCTCCTCTGTGACATTAGTTCTCGGATCCATTGATCACAATGTTTTTGTTGTGTGGTTCGACTTTGAAATCTTTGAGATTATATAGTTATGAATCCTAAACTTTTTTCCACGTGGGATGGGCACGGTTCTTCTCAATTATCAACCGTAAGATGAAAATTAACGGTTTAGATTTGTTTATCAAAACTCAACGTTTTAATTTTATTTTAGTTTCTTTTTTCCTTTACCAAAATCAATACCCGCATTTCTCATCATTGGTAATCACCCAATTTTGTTTGTTGAGAAAATAAGGAAAATTGTGACTTTGCTCCAAAAATATTGTATTGGCCAAGCTACAGTTGCTGGAGCCCAAAAGTGAAGGATAGCAGCATTGATGTGAGAAAAGTTAATGCATAAAAGAAATTAATTAGAATAAGGATATTATGTGTTAAGTAAAATGGTGAGCTTTGATAAACAAATCTAAACCGTTAATTTTCATCCTACAGTTAATATTTTGTTAAACCGGATACTCTCTGGTTTTTCTTCGATTTAATCAAGTATGTTGATATGTATTGTTTTGTGAAAAAAAAAAGGTACAATTTTATTCACCATCAATCTAATTAAAAACTGAAAAATACATGAAGAAAATATGGGATAAGAGGCTGATTCAAAGAAATTAGTAATAATTAGATTTGATACCTTGCGATGTATGATTTAATTATAGTAAGTTGGATACTTTGACATTTAATTAAATATATAATTAAAAATTAACAATAATAATAAATATAAAGTATAATAATATTAAATTGTACACTAAAGAATTGTACAATAATTGTACCACAAGATCTGATAACAACATGGCTAATACTCTTAGGCCCAAAAGGATCTTTAAAAGGCCCAGCCACCTTCAGGACTTTGTTTGATATAAGCCACATGAGAGATGTGTGTGAATTGGTTACAACGGCTTTTATGATTACGCATTTATAAATTGTTAGATTCCCTTTTCTGTTTCTAGAATGTGCGGACAGCCAATAATTGACATTTGTATTGCTTTTAAATATCACTTTGTGAATACAAAGAAGTCAGAGAGAAATTTCATTTAGAATTCTTAGATTAATAGTATAACAGTAGCTACTCCTTTACCCTATCAACTGGTCCGACCTGCTATCCACCATGGTTGAGCATCATACCCGTAAAACCACCATTGACCGCCTTGAGGAAGCCATTACGCAACTCACCCTATCCCAAACTACCCTATCCATAGATCACCATGCCCTTTCCACCAAAGTGGATACCATTCTTGATCGCTTAGCGACCTTAACCACCCAACAACCATCCACCCCGCCGCCCGCCTATCAAGCTGGACGTCCCTCGCTTTGATGGTCATGATTCCTTGGGTTGGATCTTTAAGATCAACCAATTTTTTGATTATTGAGGGACTCCGGATGGTGAACGGATTAGGGTTGGATCATTGTACATGGATGGTCCAGCATTGAGTTGGTACCAATGGATGTTTCGTAATGGGTATATCACCTTGGCCTGGATTACTACAAGAACTTGAGTCTCGTTTTGCACCTTCCTATTATGATGACTGAATTTGAACGTCTTGCTAATCGCATCGTGGGCCTTGCTCCGATGTTTCTTTTGAGTTGTTTCATTTCAGGTCTTACATCATAAATACGTAGGGAAGTCTAGGCTCTGCAACCTACTTCCCTTCCTCATGCGATGGCCCTAGCAAAGCTTCAAGAAGATAAGATTGTTGATCGACATCGCCAATCTTGCAACCCCACTCCCTCTTCTTCGTCCGTTACACCGGCGTCATCTACTCTTGCACTTCCATCATCCCCGAAGGTCCATTTCAAACATCTTTTGTCGGCTGAGATTGCATCTCGCCGTGAGAAAGGACTTTGTTATCATTGCGATGAGAAATTCACACCGAGTCACCGTTGTAAGGGGCGTCTCCTCCTCCTTATTGCCAATGATCACGATGTCGATAATATCAAGGTATCTGAAATGCTAGTTTCTACCAGTCTTGAGGATAATTCTACTGAACCCCACTTTTCCACACCTCACATTAGTCTCCATACGTTATCTGGCATGCCGGCTCTAGAGACTTTTCATCTCTATAGACATATTGGGGGGACATGTGTCACCATCTTGGTTGACAGCGGTAGCACCCATAATTTTGTGCAGACACGGGTAGCTAAGTTTCTCTCACTTCCCATGCACACCACTCCTCCATTGTAGGTTATGGTTGGCAATGGTTCCATGCTAGACTGCCATCACCTTTGTTCACAAGTTACACTTCGTATCCAAGGTCACAAATTTTCTATGGATCTACATGTGCTTCAGCGGCGCAGACATTGTATTGGGCGTACAATGGCTCAAATCACTTGGGCCGGTTACCACAGATTATAGATCTTTAACCATGACCTTTTCTATTTTGGGCCAACCTATTACCTTCCATGTTGATGTGCCGATCTAACCCACTCAAGTTTCGACCCAACAAGTTAAACGAATCATCCAGACACATTCTGCATCTGCATTTTTTCACCTTACCCTATTACCGAATCCACCTACCCAACCAGTATCTGACCTTTTTCCCCCCACCTTCCCTGAGATCACTTCCCTTCTATCTCGTTACGCCTCCCTATTCCAGAAACAAAAAACTTACCCCCTCCTCGCACTATTCAACATCACATTCCCCTGTTACCCAATTCTGAACCTGTGAATGTAGGCCGTTACCGCTACCCACATTTCCAGAAAGCCGAACTTGAAAAACAAGTGTCAGAGTTACTCGAGTCTGGTATGATTCGTTTGAGTCAGAGCCCTTTTTCTTCTCCGGTTCTACTTGTCAAAAAGAAAGACAGGAGTTGGCGTTGTTGTGTTGATTATCGTGCGCTAAATGCCATTACCGTGAAGGATAAATTTCCGATACCTACTATCGATGAGTTGTTAGATGATCTTGGTGGTGTCTCATGGTTCACTAAACTGGATTTACGTCAAGGCTTTCATCAAATACGTATGGCAGTGGAGGACATTCATAAAACAACCTTTCGAACATATCAGGGACATTATGAATATAATATTATGCCCTTTGGCCTTTGCAACGCACCATCTACGTTTCAGGCTACTATGAATGAACTTTTGAAGCCTTTTCTTCGAAAGTTTGTCACAGTATTTTTTGATGATATCCTTGTTTATAGCCCTTCTTTTGAATCTCATCTCCACCACTTAGACTCTGTGTTTTCCTCTCTTTTGTAGGCAGAATTTTTTCTGCGATCCACCAAATGTGTATTTTCCCAACAACAGCTTGAGTACCTTGGGCACATTGTTTCTTTACAGGGTGTGGCACTAGATCCTTCAAAGATTCAAGCCATGGTTGATTGGCCAGTTCCTAATTCTTCTACTCAACTTCGTGGTTTTTTGGGGCTTACAATTTTATACCGCAAATTTATCAAAGGTTATGCAGCCATTGCTTTGCCTCTTACCAACCTTCTTCGCAAAGACAACTTCAATTGGTCCCTAGAGGCCCAATCTTCTTTTGATGCTCTCAAGCAAGCCATGATAACTGCACCAGTTTTGGCTTTACCAAATTTCAGTGAGCCTTTTACATTGGAGACAAATGCCTCAGGTTTAGCAATGGGTATTGTGCTTATCCAAGGGAATCATCCTATTGCATATTTTAGTAAGCCTTTTTGTCCTCGCCTCCAACGTGCCTCCACGTATGTTCGCGAATTGCATGCTATCACTACTGCTGTTTGGAAGTGGCGTCAATACTTGCTCGGTCATCCCTTCCGTATTCTCACTGATCACCATAGTCTCAAAGATTTAATGTCTCAGGTCATCCAAACACCTGAACAACAAATGTATCTCTCCAAACTCTTGGGCTATGATTATTCAATACATTACAAATCAGGGGCTAGTAATGTTGTTGCTGATGCTTTGTCTCGTATCCCGATACTCACACAATCCACTTTCTATACCCTATCCATACCCAACTTCACCTTCCTCGAAGAGTTACACAAGTCACTTAAGGACAATTTTGAATTTCGTTTGTTACTTACCCAAATTCGGGATGATCCTAACTCTCATGCTGATTTCCGCATCCACCGTGACCTTATTTTCTTCAAAGGCAAAATTTGGATTAATGTTGATAATCCATTGCGGACAACTTTACTGCAAGAGTTTCACCCAACCCCTTTGGGTGGCCATTTAGGGGTAGCTAAGACCCTTCATCGTTTGCAGGCAAACTTTTTCTGGACTCACATGCGAAAAGACGTCCAAACATTTGTAGCCCAATGTTCCACTTGCCAACTAATGAAATACGAGACCAAACGCCCAGCTGGCCTCTTCCAAACTCTCCCAGTTCCTTCGTCAATTTGGGAAGATTTGTCCTTAGACTTTATCACTAGCCTCCCTACTTCACAGGGTCACTCTACAATTCTAGTTGTAGTGGATTGTTTCTCTAAAGGGGTTCATCTTGGGGTTTTGCCTTCTCATTACTCAGCTTACAAGGTTGCTATGTTATTTGTGGATATGGTGTGTAAGCTTCATGGATTTCCCCGTAGCCTGGTGTCAGACCATAATCCTATTTTTATCAGTAACTTTTGGCGCGAATTGTTTGAATTGTCTGGTACCAAGTTACGAATGAGCACCGCTTATCATCCCAAGTCTGACGGCCAAACTGAAGTATTCAATAGGGTTTTGGAACAATATTTGCGCTCTTTTGTGCATGACAAACCCTCACAATGGTCAAAGTTCATCTCTCTAGCTGAATGGTCTTACAACACCTCTGTTCATTCTGGAACTGGTCTCACCCCTTATGAGATCACCTATGGAAAACCCCTGCCTACAATTCCTCATTATATCTTAGGCTCTTCCAATATTGAGGCTGTTGATTCAGTACTTACTACTCGTGAGGCTCTTTATGAATTATTACAAAAGCGTTTATCCAAAGCTCAGGCAGCCATGAAGCATTCTACTGATAGCAAACGCCGTGATGTACATTACGAAGTTGGCGACTGGGTTTATGTCAAATTGAGGCCTTATCGACAACTCTCAATTTCGAGTTCTTATCATAAGCTTTCTAAGCGTTTCTATGGTCCATTTCAGATTACTGAGTGGATTGGTTCTGTGGCTTACCGCCTACAATTGCCTCCTTCCTCTAAAATTCATCCTGTTTTCCATTGTTCACTTCTTAAACCTCACCAGGGTCCTTTGGTTCCACACTCTGTTTCTTTGCCAATTCCTGTTGTAGAAAACCATCCCATTGTGGAACCATTAACAATATTGGATTGTAAATTGGATGGCTCCACCTCTCCCCCCACCAAGCTAGTGCTTGTCTAATGGCTCGGTCTTGCACCTGAGGACACCAGTTGGGAAAATTGGGAAGACCTTCGTCATATTTACCACCTTGAGGACAAGGTGTTTTTCCCAGGGGAAGGAGATGATAACATCATGGCTAATACTCCTAGGCCCAAAAGGATCTCCAAAAGGCCCAGCCACCTTCAGGACTTTGTTTGATATGAGCCACATGAGAGATGTGTGTGAATTGGTTACAACGGCTTTTATGATTACACATTTATAAATTGTTAGATTCCCTTTTTTGTTTCCAGAATGTACGGACAGCCAATGATTGACATTTGTATTGCTTTTAAATATCACTTTGTGAATACAAAGAAGTCAGAGAGAAATTTCATTTAGAATTCTTAGATTAATAGTATAACAGTATCTACTCCTTTACCCTATCAAGATCATTCATTTTTTTTATCTTCACCAAGAAATTCGAAGAAAACTAAGAATATCAAGTTCTATCTTTAAATTCAATTGAAATGTTTTCTAACGCATGAGTCGCCAAAGTAAAATCAAGCTTCATAAATTAATATTAGAAATTCACAAATTAGAAGTTCAAATAACAAACTTCACTTACCTTGAATCACTAAAAAAGGAAAAAGAGAAGGAAGAAAACAAAGAACAAAGACTCCCTAAGAGTCTGTTGTACAATAACCTCAACCTGATGCTCATCTCACAAGCTTTGAATCTCCAATCGAACACTAATACTCAACTATAAGGAAGGGTTTGGATGCCTCTATGGAGTTAGCTGAAGAAAAGGACCTTTTTTTTTACTCAAAAGCTTATCTCTCAAACTTTTCTTTAGGTTTCTTAAGATATAAACTTTTGAATTTCAAGTCTCAAGAAAATCTTAAATACCTTCCTTCAAATTTGGTTAACTTTGACCTCGACCCAAAATAACCTCAAAATAACTTCCTTCAAATTTGATTAATTTTGACCTCAACTCAAAATAACTAAATTTTCAAAGATTTCTTGACCCTTAAAGTTCTAAAAACAAAATAATCACAACATAAAAATATATAAGTCACATAACATATATTTAAATAAAATAAGCATTAAAGCATGTAATGTTACAATTGATTTTAGAATATTCCGTAAACCATGTACACAAACAAACAAAAAATCCTAAGAAAGTAGTAGCAAAATTCTACCGACCTAACGAAACGCATAAGTAAAGACATGTATGAATTGTAAGATCTAAAACTGTCAATTTGAATTCAGTCTAGTGGAGTAGAAAGTGAATAAAGTCAAATTGGATCTTAGAAAAGGTACTCTATATAATATTAGTTCATTTTAGTCGTCCAATTCCCTTAATGTGACAAGTCAAATAGACCAAAATCAAATAGACCCGCAAACTTTCGTAATGGCCTGATAGAGAAATAAAAATAAATTAATAATTTTAATACTAATAATAATGTTGTAATAGTTCACTTAGAGTTATGGTGGGAGTTTGTGTGAGTGTAAAGAAAGTGTCACAACTGAACCATTTCTATTTTGATTGTTCAGAGTGCAGCATGTTGTCCTCTCTCAACGTGCATAATGGTGAATGTATAATTCACATATTTGTTTGCTTAGTTTACACAACCAAGCGACCAAATCCTTCAGTTTCAAGCCTTTTGCCATGTATTTATTTATTTATTTTTTATTTTTTATAATGAATTAATGATTGTTCACTAGGTTTTAACTTTCAAGACGTTAAATTTTATCGATTTTAAATTCCTTAAGTAGCAGCAACTTCTGTTAAACTTATCATTGACTATTTGGCTCCTTCCTTGCCTTAATACCGCAACATATATATTTTTTATTTTATAAAAAATAAATTTAAATTTATTTTGGATGTAAATTTTTTTTATTCATTTTTAATTTAGGTTAATTTGGTTCAAAAACTTGACATCAATCAAGTTGAATTGGAAAAATATTAGTCCGAAAGTAATATAAGTCATGTCTCACTTAACTTAAAATATCATTAAACTTGTGTGGATTAGGCGCATTGACTAATTTGATAGCTCTAATGACAACATATTTTTTAAAATTTGAAAATAAAAATGGAAATAGACAGTAAATACATTTTCCCCCTCAAGAAACTATAATATGTAAATATAAAGATAATTGTTTCTCGCCTTAGGTTCCTGTAAAACACAAGGTCAATGAGACCTTTGCTTTAGGCCATCAAATTATTTAGGGCCTCAAAATTTTATTTAATTTTTAATGTTATTTATTAGTATTAATTTAAATTATTAGGTGATAATTTTATTATGATATGATATATTATTTATTATTATTAGTAGTAGTAAAATTCTATAATCTTAATATATGAATATATAAATATTATTGTAAATTATTTAAGTGTGATCTTATTATTAATATTTACTGAAAGAAGTTAAGAAAAATATTTTACTCTTATTTTGGACTCTACCTCTCCTTATTAAAAAAAAAATAGGCTATCGAAAATAGTAGAGTATAAATGTATAATTATTATATATATAAAAAAATTGTCAAAATTTTTTATAATAAAATTACATGTTTAACTAAAAAATCTTATACGTATTAAATTATTCTGTTTGTCTCATAATGATTGTAATTTAAGATTTTTATATATAAATTATAAATAACAATAAATGTATAACTTTTTTTTATATATAATTTTATTAATATAGTTCATCCTCTCAATAAATACATTATTTTTAATTATAGTAATTGAATAATTTATGAAAGAGTAAACTGAGAATAAAATAATTAATATTATATTGTAAAATAGAAACATCATTTATTTTAAGATATTTTTCTAATTTTAAAATTACAGTAATTGCGGGACCGAGAGTAATTTCCTTCCTTCGTTGAAAGTCAATTTGAATAACTTTTAAAATATAAAAATCTCTTTTAATTTTTATTTAAATTCTTAAAACCAATATTTTTGATGAGGATGGACTCAATAAATATCATATTAACCTTAAATTCTCTTAAATAAAGATATTATAAGAACTGCATACAAAAGAAATTCGAATTCATATATTATCCATTACAAGTATATATATATATATATATTA